GTACTAGGAAGCCACTGCAAACCACACTCGCCGTTGCTGGCGCACTCAAACTACAGGCACAGCGCGCAGAAGATACACGTGTCGGCATTACCACGCCGGTTCACCGCTGCGGAACTACATTACCCACAAAACCCCCCGCCAGCACGGTTACGCAACACGCCGCGCCAAGCTGGCCCCGCCCCGTGTTTTGATGGCAACATGGCTACGCACGTGGGGGTGAGGAAGTGCTCCCTGCGCAGCCCCGAGTTCCCTCAAACTTTGCACCAGGGGTTCAGAGAGCTGTGGGAGGCGGGCTGCCTCTGCGACATTCGCCTGGTGGCCGAAGATGAGACGTTTCCGGCTCACAGGTCGGTTCTCGCCGCAGCCAGCTGTTACTTCAGGGTGATGTTTACAACAGACATGAAGGAGAGAAACATGGACTCGGTGGAGCTAAAAGGCATTTCTGCGGGGGGTCTGAAATGCGCCTTGGACTTTATCTACACTTCCCAGCTGGTGTCGGACTTGGAGAGCCTGGAGGACGCGCTGATCACCTCCACACACCTGCAGATCCCGCACATGACCGCCTGCTGCGCGGAGCTCCTGCAGAGCTCCCTGACCGCGGACAATTTCCTCGAAATCCTCTCTCTGTCCAGTAGGTACGACCTGGCCTCTTTAAAGGGGGAGTGTCTCGCCTTCATCTCGCAGAACCTGGACGTGATACTGAAGACAGGCGAGAGCTCTCTGCTGCAGATGGACGCCGATGGCATTTGGGGGCTGTTGCGGAGAGACGACGTCAGCCCCCGGGTCAGCGAGACGGCCCTCCTGGAGCTGGTGCTCAAGTGGGTGGAGTACGACCTGGACCGCCGACAGCCCTACACCGAGCTGCTCCTGCAGGAGGTCCGGCTGGGGTTGATCTTCCCCCCCGGCTGCGGGTTCGAGGGGGACCTGGGAGCCGCCGCCGAGCTGGTGAAGGCTCTTCCGAAGGGTCAGGCGTACCTGGACATGCTGTCCGAGCAGTGCCTGGGGCTGCAGACCGACAGCCCGGTTCGGAACTGGTTCAGGATAAGGTCGACGAGGAAAGCGGTGCTGGCGACGTGCGGGAAGACCACGGGCAGCCGGGAGTGCAGGGAGGTGATGGTAAGACCGTGTCCGGGCTCCGCTGTGGCTGTGTCCAGTGGCTCTTGAGTATT